CGATAGAATAAAACAACAAAAATATAATATTGAGAAATAGTGTTGGATGAAATTTGGAGATAGAATGAAAAGGACTGTTACGTTCAGGAAAAGATGATGGATGGATGGAAGATTAACGTTTCATTATAAGGAAATTACTTGTATGAAGAAGATTGTCTATTTGACGAAGGAAATAAGATTCATCATGGAAGAGTTTCACTTATTACGGGACTAAATAAAATAAATGATAAACTTATAGAAAAAAGAGAGATAATGAATCAGTAGCGATAGAAAAGTAAAAGAAGGGCCTAGAAGATTTGGTTGGGAAGGGTCAATCAAAACCGTTAAACCGCCGACTTTAAATTCAATAAAATTTAATGAGAACTCGAGAGGGCCAGTTTATTCCCCAATTTGAAGAATCTATTCACAAGAGAACGGCTTTAACACTAGCACAGGAATTCATGCATCTGTTAAACAGTTTGAAGAAAAAGAAAGAACAAATAAGCGACCTTATGGTAAATAAAGAAAATCACTTATGGGTTAAAAAAACTAGAGAATTTGTATGAACGATATGGCGGTAAAAAAAACGAAATGAGGGAACTATTTAAAGGTTTACAACAAGTTCGATGCGTAAATAAAGGACCATTTCAAATGGTAAAATTTATCCCAAGTAAGGGATAAGGGAAGAATATAGAAACGAAGCAACTGAACGTGATAGTGATTTAAAGAATATCAGAAAGCATGGCTAAAGGTCTGAGAAAAAGGAAGTTTAGGAGTCCAGAGCAGACAATGGTGACACTATCAAATACCAAAAGAAAAAATGAAGATTGAAAAAGACCCTGAAGAAAATCTGCCCGAAAAGACAAAAAGCTAAATAGAACAAAGATACAACGGTCAAGATCATATGGAACAAGATTCACGAATTGGCAATATGTACGACGGTTAGCTCAACAGCGAAGATAAAAGCAGTGATATATGTCGTAGCAGAGTGCAACAAAAGAGCGATGGAGATTGACTACCATATATCTGTCCTCTCTACCATATATCTATGTAGTAAATATCCTACTATGGATCTCTACTACTACTACTACTACTACTAGGTTGATCCTACTGTCGCGAATTCCGATTCGCGAGACTCCAACCATACAAATATATAATCAAATTTCCTATTGTAAATCATTTAAACAATTTACATTGTTTAAAATTATCTCCCATACGTTTCTTTTGTTGTCTTTGTCCAACGGAAATTCCCATCTTTATACTAATAACAATGTCCAATTTGCATGCTAATCTTCCCTCTGTTCTTGTTACAATGCTTATTAT